GCCTCTCCCTACCAACTGATTTTGATGTCATTTGTTTTTTTGCAAAAAAAGGCAAACTGAGAAATGTCGTCTGCTATGTAGCTCAAGTATTTAGGCATTATTGCCCCTGAGTACGTCCGAGAGAGATTTTAGGGATTATTTCAGAGGAGATGATTTTCAACAGAGAGCTGAGATTGATCTTTCTGAATGCCTACTTTAACAACTGGGCTGAAATTCACTTTTCCAAGTTTGCTCGTTTGCTGTTAATTATTTATTTTAGTTTCATTCTTTGGGATTACAATGTGCCTCTTTCTCTGTAAGCCGTCTTTATGGCTGAATTTCTTTATTTATTCATATCCTCTTTGCGTAAGAACACGAAGCTTCGCAAACTTACACAAGGAAACCATACGGCATATAGAATCTTACAACAGTACTTTCAAAGTCTATTCACCTAGCCAAAGTAAATAAAGTACATAAATTAACTTTAACGTGTACAGCTCCACTGATTATGAAGTTCTGATAAATTCCAAAGTTCTTCGGTGATATATGGATTCTCGGGAGCAAATACAGGTGTATACTCGTACATCGGACTGTAAATAGAAGAAACGGGGCTTTCAAAGTATGAGTTTCATACATGCGAGGCGTAATTGCCTTCATCCAACCCTTCAACTCTCTAGTATTATAAAAATATTTTTAAATTATACGCCCGAGGCTTTTTAAAAATTACACGCGGAACAGACATTTAATATGCACAATGTTTGCGTTACGTTGGAATATTAAAGATTGTTAGATAGATGCTTCGAGCTTTGATAGGTATTGACTCAAGGAATATTCTTCGGTGCAAATTTATGCATCGATTTTTTGAGCTGTGTTGTTTGATAGATAATGCGTTCCGAAGGCGTTGCTTTTGCAAACGACTTTGCCACGATGAACCTGTGTAACCATGAGTCGATCAACTTCTCGTTCATTTAACAAAGGATTTCGGTTTGTTAATTGGCTTCTTTGTCAAAACGATAATGACTAGTTAAGTAAGTTTGGTTTGGTTCAATGTTTCAGAGATATCGCTAACGATCAAAGTTTCTGTCAATTGAAATCGACGAGTTTAGTCAATTTTGAAGGGCCTAACGTGTTTGTTTCAATTGATTTTCAAGACACAAATCTTCCATCAAAAACACACAAACTTTTAAATGCTAAGCTAATAATGTTACCATTACTTTTGTTATTCTAGTCAAACAAGATTCAAACTTTGTATGATTAGCTTCAATCCGTTGATCCGTTATGCAAGCAACTTCTAATATAGCTAAGCTTGTTCCCTGATTCAGATTCAAAGAAGCCAAGAGGTACACTATTCTCTGAAATTGAATAATCTCGAGCAAGTCAATTTTTCTTTTATTTTAGATGAGTCGGTGCTCATTATGTATGTCGTGAAAGTTTCATTGCGGTTGTAGCAAATGTCCCTACTTGAAAAATACACTAACTGTAAACATTTGATGCATTCGTCGCGACTCTAGTTTCACAACTTTTTTTTTTAAGAGACGACGATGCACTTACAACTCAACCCCTCTGTCATTTATAATTCATTCATTCGCCTCAGTAAGTTGCGTCTGGGAAGAAATGCAAGCACGAGTGGAATCGATTCTTTTTGACCCTATTATCCATAGGAATTTGAGTGGCTTCCTATTACAAACTTCACGATTACCATTTAAGGTCAGTCAAAGCATTAGCAATTACTTGATATAAATTCCGAGTAATTGCTACTTAAATATCAAAATGCCCTTGAGAGTTGGCTCGCACGAGGGCACAAAGTACTCATCTTCTGACAATAATTTAGATTCTTCCCATTTTTTTCCATCTAAAAAAACATCAGTCGAATAGTTCTTGAAAGACGACGATCGCGGTGACAAGACGAACTAGTATAGAATGTGAAAGTTACTTTATATTTAAGACGAATCACTGCTAGTCGCAAAAAAGCGGTCGTACTTGTCGACGAAATTTCTTCTTCTTTACCACTTTTAAAAGTTCCATCAAAACTTTCATATCTCCGACTAATGATCTTTTACGTTTTAATTCAATGAATTCGCCTGTGGGTAGAAGAACAGTATAACTTCATTTCTTTTTTCCTTTTTTTTTGCTTTGAAAATGTGACGATTCCGCAGACAAATGAGATGACTGCATGAAAGGAAAAGAGGCGCGAAATACGGTATATTTATAATTGTAGTTCTTTGGCAATTAGCTCAAGTAACCTTTTTGCGAAGACCGAGTTAATTAGGTAAAAGTATCTTTAAAAGTTGCACAAGAGCACTTTTAAAAATTGAAAATTTATCCTAGCAGTTGCATTGGAAAATGTCTTTAATAAAACACTAACATAATGGCCATTAATAATAAATATTATCTTTGTTGTGTTCATTTAGGACAATCTGCCATTGAAACGAGCTCCGTGTGGTTGCGCAATCACCAACAGAAAATCTAGATCCAGACAAAGATCGAGGTCCAATAGACGTCCGCCCAGTGGCATTGGAGTTATGTGCTTGGACAAAGTGCTGCAAGATAACGAGACTGAAAAAAATCCAACTTGTGACGGCGAGGACGAGTGCCACAATTGTGGCGAGCCTTCGATGTTATTGAGTGACGACGATGATAACACAGAATTATGTTGTAAAACGAGTAAGTTCTTGAGAGTCTTTTCAAATCGCTAGAATTGAGTCCGATTTGGAATAATTTTTCTAACATTTCAAATTTCGCGTCCTCCGCATTTTAAATTAACAATAACAATTGCACTGAATAATAAAAAAAATGTGAGGTCTCAGTGAATCACTACCCCTAGTAGAAAAATCAATGTACGATCAGACTCTCGTAACGTGTTTTTCAGACCCAAGCTGTACATCCAACAAGAAAGACCAGGCAGTACTGGCCAAAATACCAAGACCAAAGGGCTGCGACAAGAACAGCAAAAAGCAGAGGAAAAAGCGAAAAGGCCATTCGTCGAAAGAAGCACTTGAAGCGTCGTCGTCGCTGGCCGACGATGGCAGACGACCCCAAGTCGCAATTACAAGTGGGGAGCTCGAGTTCGCGTCGAAAAACTGCGATAGGCTGCGTAGCTCGACGAGCACATGCTCGGATTGCACTTGTTTAAGGCATAACTGCTGCTGCGAATCTTCCGATTGACTTGCTCTATTTGCTTTGGCAGCGCGAGCAGCTAAAAGCTTATACACTCTTCGAATTACACAATCCGTGCAAAATAAGATTTCATCCATCGATATCATCCCCCCAGCAACATGCACTGAGTCTCTTTCATTCGATTTTTCAACCTTATTTCTAATTAGTTCACTTTATCGATTTACCATTGAACCGTGGGTTAATTAATAAATGAAAACCGATATAGATGTGCTTTACAAAAGCATTCCGAAAGCGCACATTCCAATTGGAATTTTATTGCTACAGAGAAGCCTTTGTGAGTTAATTATTCTTAAAAGCGTTTCTAATAATCAATACTTTTTTTTTATCTCATTTTTGAGTGTGCATCGTGTACCGCGTGTGCGACAATCCTCTCCCCTTTTTCACTCCGATAAAGACGCACACTGGATTTTACAAAATATAAACCCGTTATATTCTTTTTTCCAACTCAGATGAGAGAGGCATTAACGAGCCATAATGCTCAAATCCAATAATATAATCCTCGTATCAAATGTACACAAATTATTGGATATTTCTTACTGCGTTGTGAAAAGCTTTCACAGAGTGCATATTCTTCTTCAGTTACCGTGAAAATATACACGACCATAAAGGTATTGTTTGCATCATATACATTCAAGCTGAACATGAAAGCTAATTTCGCTATAGTTTACTTATGATTTTGATGAGAGCAGAGTCAATTCAAAGTCTCAAAACATCCAATCTATTTATTCTGCTCTGCTCAAAGTTAATGGTATTTTAACATAAATATATTGGACAGATATATGCCCCGATACAGGCGGTATTCAGGTCCTTTTTGAAAGCTTCTTTGTAAAGAAAGTAATTTTCTATCGTAACATCGTCAAGAACACTCGTCGTTTTTGATGTAAATTACACGAGTACAATTACGTCATGACAGCACCCGAGAGGTTGATCTTTGAAAATTTAAATAAGAGTAATGTTTATAATGAAACTTGTTAATTTCATTTTCCGTGGCGGAACGAAAACGCATTTAACAGCACAAAATTATTACTCCGAGATGATTCATAAATAATCATCTCCATAAAAAAATTAGCTGGAAGTCAATAATCGAAAATGCTTCTCTGCGGTCAGTAAATCAAATTAATACACGAGGTAAGCTTGATACGTATCGGTGCATATTAACTATCAAACGATGAAGTGTTTGTACCGTTTTATTATTAACGTAACATTGGTATTCGACAACATAGAGGTAGGTAAAAACGTTGCGTAATAAAATGTGATTAGCTCAGGAGAATTGGAAATTTTTTTGAGCCGAGAGCTTTCGATACTTTCTAATGGTAATTTATGCGAATGCAGTAGTGTAATATTTTTCATTGCTTAATTTGGTGATTCACGAATTAATTAATATCTCGATCCATTAATTACCAACGTATGTGTAGAGATTTATACATCTGCTGCTTATTAAACATCTTTGATGGGACCAGCGAAACTTACGTAAAGTTGTTTTACAAAAACGAGAAAATTTACAGTTTTCTCATTAAAAAAAGCTTTGGATGCAATCTCGTTAGACATCTGCCGCTTTAAGAGATTTTGGAATAAGTATAAGACGTAAAAAACACACGACGCGGTGGCAGCGCAAAGATAAATTATCCATGGAGTTGTGCAGTTGGTCGCTTAATTACGCACAGCACAGAGAGCACAGGGGGCGTCGATTTTAAAGCACACCCACACACATCAGAGGAACCAAGAGGAACACGCGAGCTGCCTCCAAGTGGCTCATATGCTCCATACGGTCTCATCGAAGGAAAAATATACGAGTGGGTAAAATATGATGCTCTCGGTGTAAGTAAGTTGGCTGTGGTACTCACCGAACGTTAGCGAGGGTGTGGCGCCGGGATCGGAGGTTGTGATAACCCCTGAGCTCGCCGATGCTGCCCTGCTCGGCCTGCATTCTCGCCTGTGCCGTGGCCGCGGCGCTGGCGATCACGTGGTGCTGATGTCCGGTGGCACCGGCCGTCGTGACGCTTCTGCGTGAGCGCCAGCCAGTCCTGCTGCTACCTCCGCCGCCTCCTCCTCCGCTGCCTGCAGCAGCACCTCCTCCTGTACTCGGTGTCGGAGATTTTTTCTGGTAGAGTCTGCAAAATCAACACGAGCCAGACGTCATCATTTTTGATACATCACGGATCCACGCACACACACTGACGCGCTCTTTTTACGGCGCTCTCGTCGTGTAGGTATATGCACTACGGTTTTCGTTGCTCGCTTACTTCGGCATTCAGGAAAAAAAATGTCAAACGGTGTTTTTTTCTCGTGTAAGGCCTGGAGTATTTAAGAGTTATAGAGACACATTTACATGCACGTTCGTATATTGGTCTTAATTAGAGGAAATTAACAGGCTTGGAAACCGTTTTTTACAGGATTTCAGAGAGTCATGCTGTACAACATTTATATAGATAAATTAAAAAATTCCAGTGTATTAAATAAATTCTACATGTATACTTATTCTAACTGCTTTTGATCAGCGCTCACATATCATCAATTTGAACTTTATCTCAAATTGTGTTAAATCTCAAATAATCGTAATAAATCGCGATGTAATGCCTGACATGGTAGGAAAATTCCAGTACCAAACGCTGCTGTATTAATCGAAATAATTAGTCTGACATGTAACGCGCAACGCAAACGCTCGCGTCCAAGCGAATTTCAAAAAGTATTCAAATTTCCTGGTTGGCACGATCGATATCTTCTACATCGACGAATCAGAATTTGCGTCACGTCATAGCGTCGGAGCTTCTCGCCTCAAAGTAAGTGTGATTTCGATATTGGCTTTCAAAAACGTGTTATGTATCCGTGTGCGCCCGTCGACGCGCATATCGTGTACACATACTCGGAAATAAGAGCAAAATGTAAAAAAGGAAGGAGGGATTTGCAAAGAAAAATCCAATTACGAGAGGAATCCGCAGTGTTCGCAAATTTTGCTTTCATAACTACCTATGTGCTTTTACACACATTAATGCATAGTAGGGTGTCCGTTATTTCCCGACTTTTTTGTATTGCTTCTCCCCCCACCTAGATGTCTTCTATTTGATAAGACAATGAGAAAGCCGGGTTATAGAGTTCGAAAAAATGATTTTAAGGTGGCCCCCAAGCGGCTTGAAGCTTACATGTATTTTAAATGGGAAAAACTTAAAAATTTGATTCTCAGCGATAAAAATGATGAAAAAATTTGAAAAAATTCAGCAACCCATGTATTTTATGTATTTTTTGACGAGGAATCGATTGGTGACCTTGAATTTGACCTTGAACATAACCTCAAAGCTACAGCGAACCAAAAATCGTTTTTTTCACAGTGACCCCCATTTTTTATTGCAGATTCGAAAAGAGCGGAAAATTTCATGTCTGATTATGTCTTTCGATTTTTTTTCAAGGGTATTCAAAAGGCGCTGCAGATATAGATAAAGCCCTAACTAGTAAAAATTCGAAAATTGCACGCTAAAATTAGGGTTTTATTTGTATCTGTAGCATCTTTATAATGCCCTTGAAAAAAAATCGAAAGACATAATTTGACTTGAAATTTTCCGCTCTTTTTGAATCTGCAATAAAAAGTGGGGGTTACCGCAAAAAAAACGATTTTTCTCAATATTTTGTTCGCTGTAGCTTTGAGGTTATGTTCAAGGTCAAATTCAAGGTCACCAATCGATTCCTCGTCAAAAAATACATAAAATACATGGGTTGCTGAATTTTTTCAAATTTTTTCATCATTTTTATCGCTGAGAATCAAATTTTTAAGTTTTTCCCATTTAAAATACATGTAAGCTTCAAGCCGCTTGGGGGCCACCTTTAAATCATTTTTTCGAACTCTATAACCCGGCTTTCTCATTGTCTTATCAAATAGAAGACATCTAGGTGGGGGGAGAAGCAATACAAAAAAGTCGGGAAATAACGGACACCCTAATGCATAGCAACGTCATTTTTTTGCTCCTTCCGCCGAGCTAGCTCGCAACTGCTGATATAGGGGTCATAGATAATTGACGCGAAAATTGAAAATTCCGATGAGAAATCAATGTAAGCAATCCTCGTCCCCGGAGTAAACAATCCAATAAAAGAGATTAGCACGGTAAAAGCGCGGAGAAAGAAGAGAGAAAGAGAGCAAGAAAGAGAACAACAACCATCGACAGGCTCGATAACGGCGTCAGAAAAAGTAATTCTTTCGCGCGGCACAGGCACTATTAGGAAAGAATTAGTGGATAAAACAACGTGAAAAGACACAAAAAAATACAACTATCGTGAGGATTAATCGAGCTGAAAGCTTTTATCCTATGACTTCTCAGAAGCGCAGGGGTATAAGCAGCGGAGCAAGAGCGAGACGGTCGAACGAGGCGCATAAATGTTGAAAAGGCCCAAGAGAAGGAGAAGCTTTGCCTCGACCGAGGACAGCAGCAGTAGATATGGATGGAACGAACGCGCAAAAGCAAAGAGGCAGAGAGAACGTGTGTACCGATGCATTCAGTTATAGGTGTTCACAATATCCGGCAAATAGATTGGAGAGCACAGTCGGCTAATCGGGAAATGAGCTAAGCCGAGAGAGAGAGAGAGAGAAAGCTCACAAGCTCTCTCGCTGCCAAGGCCTATATTTGTACCTCGGGGGCGTACATTTGCACATGAACACATACATACACACACATAGCCATGTCACATATATAGCTGCATTGTCTTATCTTCTCAAGCACAAACGCTCCTTTAATAAGAAGACAGTACCGTTGAGAGACGTGAGCGTTTGTATGTGTATGCGAGCATAAACATAAGACATCTGCAATGGAGTGGCAGTCGCGCGCACCCCTCTGCGCTGCCTCTTGCCAGTCGCGCAGATCGAAAAGCTCGCTCCCATCGTATTATATTCATATTCATAATATATCTGAGTAAGTCGCAAGCTCTCCTTCATATTGCCGCGCGTGCACGGCAACGTCGACGACGACGAATTTCCCGCTGCGTGGCTTTAGATAAATGCCATAAAGCGCGCCGTATGCTCGCTCGAACGCGTATGTGCGGCCTCCTATCGCGAGACGACGACGACGACGTGCATGAATACCAAATCGACGAAGAAGTGCACCCACGCATCAAAGACGATGTATTATAGACGCGTATACGATCGAGCTAGGGATGTATTTTTTTCGTCTTTTAGTCATCCGAAATTGCGCATGCTACTGCATGCATTTACTCTTCAAATTCAATCTAACATTTTCACGTCTGTGTACGCTTGCAAATGTTTCGCGTAATTCGGTGCCATACATCAACAGGCGTGAAAAAATATTAAATACCTCGGGTTCAGAAAAACAAGAAAGGATATTTGTGGTTTTACATGATTCGACGTATGAAGAAATAAGATACTCAAGATTTTATTAATGAGCCAGTGGACAGGTTGATGAATTTCATTATTAAAATGGTCGATAAGTTCCTCACTTGATGGATGAGAGCTTATAATTAGCTTAATGGACAAGTCTCCGAATCGAAGCATTAATCAAATTTCAAGTACTTTTGTCTTCGAAAAAATGTTAACATTGTACGGACACACGCCTACTCATACCAAATAACAGCTCACGTATACACATTTGCATAGAACATCTTGATGTTAGAGTTCACGACGAAAATTAATCTCTCAACTGTTCGACAAGTCAACTCAAGAGGTCATTTTTATCTACTTTCAAGTATTAACAAACCTTATAAAGCTCAAATTTAATTTAACTTTTATCAACAGTTGCCTAGTTTTTTAATAAGTCATCCGTAGTATAATCAATAGAAAAATGTTAGTTGAATTATACTATTGAAGAACATTGAAAATAACTGTTAATTAGGATTACAACATTTTATTTACACTTTAAAAAAGAATTAAAAAAATTAAATTTTCAAATTAATTTTATAGCTTCAACGAAACTGATTAAGTAAGCGAAACCTCATTTATTTTGCACATAATATAGTTTAGGTTAGACTAGTGGCAACCACGATTCTCCATGATCCATTGCAACGGTTTGTGGCTTAACTTTTCCACGACGTTTACTTTCGGTAACTGATTTTTTTCGTCATTGATCTTAATTACTAATGTCTCGTATGTTCATCGTAGTAATTATTGCAAATAGTCTGCAGAGGAGTCATTCCATCTTTTTTGGCTACATTTGGATCCGCGACTCAATGAATAGTAACCTTTCCATTGACTCCAATAAAATGGAGCGCGAAGCGCGCATTTGAATATAAGAAAGTATAATGTGTTCAAGCTCTTGCGGGTACCGAAAGAGCCATCTGTCGGATTACATTTAATATATTCAATGCGATCGGCCGCTTATTTCTCGCAAACTAAAATATACGTAGTTCAGCATAGATGAAATACAAAATTTATTTTTTCTTATGAGAATCATTATCGAACAGAGTGTTTCGAACGAAAATGATCAATTAAGTTGAGAAAAGAGAATATTAAGAAATCCAAGTGCATAAGGCACATTAATTAAAATAACCAGTCATTCACTCGACAATAACGGACAACTCTCATGAAATAACACATTTTATTTTCACTTTTTACTTGGATTATTAAAAAAATCTAAAAACATGATAAAATTATACTTTGGACAATCAAGCTCTCGAATAATGTAATTCTCATACGTTGGGATTTAGACGAATGATGCGCTATGCAGCACTGAATTTTGAACCTTAAATGCTACCTTATAATACCCGAATGCTATATATAACACGCGAGTGCTCATGCACAGCCGCACTGCAGGACTGAAATTTTTCGGGAGTAAGCACAATTTTCCGAGAACAGACAAGTTATGCGTTTACCATTGCAATAGCGTGCGGCTAGAGAATTTTCTCACGAATTCGCGCGCGCGCGCACGCTCGATTATGAAATTTTTCGCTCGCAGCTGTTATTCGCGATTTTCCAGTTTGTATTTTATGCGGGCACACGATTCTATTTTTACTCCGCGTCTATTTTTACAATTCTCATAATGTGACTTTATTACATTGACTTATTTTTTTCATACGACGTTGTGTACAGGCAAAAGGTTAGTGAAAAAGTGGCGTTTCTTTTTTTTTTTTTTGTTGCAATAAAACAATTCAACTCGATGCGACGTGTCTCTAGCAGTTA